TAGCAACTCTGTGTATAGCAGAATGGAATCCTGGCTGGCCTTTTTGTGCCATCCTCTCATCTTCTGGCACTATGTCAGATGATGCTCCACTGCTTTTCATGGCCAATTTTTTAGAAGTGGGTGGCCAGGTCCTTCTTTCTAGTCTATCTTAGTCTGGAAGTTCTGAAACCTGTATACCATGGGTAACCCTGCTGGTATTTGAAATACCAGCGGCATAGCTTTCAACATCACAGCAACAGACAGCTGCCACAGTATGACAACCGACAGACAGGTGGTGTAGTCAAGTTTAATTAATTTAAGTTTACGTTTAAATAGCTACACGTGCTTAGAAGCTACTAGATTTAACAGCACAATTCTGAATCTCTCTTTTATTGCATTGATTTCTATTCCTATACCAATGCTAAACTATTTTAATTACCAAAGCTTTATAATAAATCTCAAAATCAGGTAGTAAAGTCCTCCAACTTTTTTTTTAACTTTCAAATTGTTTTTCCTATTTTAGGTCATTTGCATTTCCATATATATTTTAGAAGCAGCTTATCAGTTTCTACAATAATAGCCTGCTAAGATTTCCATTTGGATTACACTAAATCTACATGAATTTTGGAAGATCTGGTATTCTGTTCCATGAAATTGTATATTCCCCCATTTATTTAGCTCTTCTCTAATTTCTCTTAGCAATATTTTATAGTTTTCAGAGTACATCTTGAACATAATTTATTATATTTACCTATAAGTATTTTGTGTTTTTTAATATTTAGAAATGGTGCTATTTAAATTTAGTTTTTTTATTGCTTCTTTCTAGTATGTGGAAATGCAACTGATTTTTCCATATGACCTTGTAGCTTGTGATCTCACTAAATTCACTTATTTGTTCTAGTACCTTTTTCATTGATTTCTTAAGATTTGCTACATATACAGTTACATCTTCTGCAAAAAATGACAGAGGACCTTGGTTTCTGATCCAGCATGTAAGAAGCTTGGAAATTATCACTCCATTCTAACTAGTACTAAAAAACTGAATAAACTAAAAATCAATACTTCTTAGATCCACCAGAGAATTGAGATCACAGGGCAAACTGCTGCCCCACAAATGGGAGAGACTGACAGGCAAACATAGAGAATCACAACTTACTGGAGCAGAAACCTCCACCAGAACTGTACCGAGGCAGAAAAGCCTAAATGTAATTGGTGAATTTCTGGATGCTCAGTGCGGACAGGTCTGAGAGCCAAAAACTCTGGGGAAGGGGCAAGTCTCATGGGAGCCCCATGCTTTTGTGAGTTTTACCTTCAGGAGCTCTATCAGGCTCTCACAGTCAAGAGCAGAGAGTAATCCCTCATGCTCCTGGTTGGGAGAGGGGAACGTAACCATTCTGAAGTACAGCAGAGGATTCTGGTTTTCATAATAAGACCTTTCCTCAAGAGAAACTATTTTACCAGAACCTAACCTGTTGGGGTTCTTTTCAGAGCCTAACTGACCTGGGGGAAGGGAAATGCCCACTCCAGCCCTCTCGAGTCATCCCATCCCATCTCAGCAGGAGGAGGAAAATGATAAGCACTTGTGAAAGGCACAGCCCAAAGGCACAGGCTCACTAAAAGGCTGAAACCTAGTGAGGACTGTAGAAATCTTCCCCGCACCCCTCATCTTACCACCGCTGTTAAAGGCCTTTTACCCAATAATCCATGTCTGGCTTTCAACCAAAAATTACAAGGCATACTAAAGGCAGAACACAGTTTGAAGAGACAGAGCAAGCAGGAGAACTGACCCAATATGGCAGAGATGTCCGACTTATCATAGTGTAAATTTAAAACAACTATGATTAATAGTCTAAGAGCTCTAAAGGAAAAGGTAGACAACATGCAAAAACAGATGGATAGTGTAAGTAGAGAGAAGGAAATTCTAAAAAAGAATTTTTAAAAAGGCAAGGGATAAAAAAAAATCTTAACAGAAATGAAGGAGACATTTAGTGGGTTCAGTAGATGAGACATGGCTGAGGAAAGAATCTCTGAGCTTGAAGATATGTCAATACAAACTTCTACAACTAAAAATCAAAGAGAAAAAAGATTGAAAAAAATTAGAACAGAATATTTAAGCACTGTGGAACAACTACAAAAGGTGTAGCATATATGTAATGGGATTACCAGAAGGAGAAGATAGAAAGAACCAGCAGAAATATTTGAAGCAATAATGAGTGAGAATTTTGCCAGAATTAATGTTAGACACCAAACCACATATCCAGGGAGCTCAGAGGATACCAAGCAGGATTACTATTCCCCAAAACCCCATGTAGACAAATCATATTCAAATTGCAGAAAATCAAAAATAGAAAAAATCTTGAAAGAAGCCAGAGGGGAAAAAATTCTTACCTATAAAGGAGCAAAGATGAAAATCATATCTGACTTCTCCTTTGAAACCATGCAAACAAAAATATTGTGGAGTGAAATATCTAAAACATTGAGAGAGGGGCTTGCCTTGTGGCCGAGTGGTTGGGTTTGCGTGCTCTGCTTTGGCGGCCCAGGGTTTTGCCAGTTCAGATCCTGGGCGTGGACCTAGCACCGCTCACCAGGCTGAGGTGGTGTCCCACATAGCAGAACTGGTGGGACTTGCAACTAGAATATACAACTATGTGCTGGGGGCTTCGGGGAGAAGCAGAAGAAAAAAAAGAAGACTAGCAACAGATGTTAGCTCAGGGCCAATAAGATAAATAAATAAATAAAACATTGAGAGGGAAAAATGACCAACCTCTAATTCTGCATCTGAGAAATTAGCCTTCAAAAGTGAATGGGAAGTAAAGAATTTCTCAAACAAAAATTGAGGGAATTTGTTGTTGGTAGATCTCTCTGGCAAGAGATGTTAAAAGAAGTTTGGAAGGAAAATGCTGCAGTAAGAATCTTGGATCTATATAAACAAAAAAGAGCATTAGGGAAGTAATAAGTGAAGGTGTAGGGTACACAAAAACCTATTTTTCTTACTTTTAATTTATCTAATAGATAACAGTTTGTTTCAAATAGTAGCAATAGCGTATTCAATGATTACAGTTTACGTATAAGTGAAATGAATGATAGCAATGAGACACGAGACAGGAGGGAGGCATTAGGAATTACTGGGTTACTCCAAGGCACCGGCGCCCCTGTGAAGAGGGAGCGCCTGCCTGATCACGCCCGCCGCCTGCTCCTCTCGTGCCTGCTGCACCGTCTAGTCTCAGCGAATTGGCAGATGCTTGTACTCATGAAATTCCCCTCCTTTGCATCTTTTTTATTTTAAGTTTTCCAGAATTAAAAGAGAAACTTTATGGTCTGCAACCATTTCAGGAGGGAAGGAATAGTTTACTTCTCCACTAAATTATACAGGAATTTCCTGATTTGACAACAAATGCAGGCCCTATAACACAAGACATATCTTCACCCAAATTGAGAGTCTTGACTCTTCTCATGTAGCAAGCAGTGGGGCCCAGCCGTATACTGTGTCTCTGCCCCCAACCTCTGAAAAGCCTGTCTTTGCAGTGTTTTCCTTCTCTAACTCTGTCCAAACAACTAGAATTCATTTATACAGATTAATGTTCTTTCTTGACTCTTCTTCCAGGTGCAGTCACTTGGGAAGATTGCCTTTTGTGTTTCCTTCTTTTCCAAAAGCTTCTAAAGCAATTTAACCAGTAGGAACAAAACTAAAATGATGGCTTTTGAAAATGAGCCCCACTACCCTGGTTTGGCTATGCTCATATCCTTCCTCAGTGTCTCATTCTAAATCTTGTGACTCTTGATTGGAGTGACAAATGGTGTCACTCAATGATTGCCCAACATAAAAAATTAATGAACCGTTCATTTAAAAGTTTACTTTCTTGTAAATATAGCATCCACCTCTCACCATAGAATGTCCTTAAGAATGGAGAAGAGCAGGGAATGCACTGAGGATTGAAATTGGTGTACACTACTATTCTTACAGTTTTAATTTTTTTATTTTGAAATAATCTAAAATTTACAGAAAAGTAGCAAGTATAATACCAACAACTTTTGCCCCTGAACAATTTGAGAGTAAGTAGCAAACATGATGCCCATCACTGCTTTCTAATTTAGTATGTTTTTCTTACAAACAGGAACATCCTTTTATATAACCACAATACAACCATCAACATCAGGAAATTAACAGACCCCATTCAGGTTCCACCAATTGTCTGAATAACAACAGGACGATCAGGCTTGTGTTGTACTTTCCATGCCCCAGCCTTGGTTCTAAAATTCAAAGATCCCTGGACCCATTTAGTGAAGAATGGCGTTTAGAAACCAAGCATTGTGTTCTACGCGCACCCATTACCTTTGTGGTGTTGCTGCTCTCAGACTCTCCCAGGAGACAGAGCTAGGATATGTTCACAGATATAAGCACACATTTATATCTACATTTATTTCCAAATTTAACTATTTATACTATATGAACATGAGTTTACATCAATACCTCCAATTTAATCAAATACTACAGAGTTGATTCCTGTTTTCTCTCTTTCCACATTTATACCTCTTTTGTCTAACAGTGAGAAAACTGCCTCCCATTAGGCTGAACATATTTACTTCTTTGATCAATCCCCCATATGTAACCAATCTCCTGTCACCGCCACCTCTTCTCCCACGCTGATGCTGTCTTCACTCTGCTGAAGCTAACTTGTGACATGCTGCTGTCTGCCTTCCTCACCCCATTTGTCCCTCTAACATCCCGACCTGGGATGTTCTTCCTTATGGTGCCTTCCTCGCCCTACTTGGTGATAAATTTTTGAAGACGATTTTCCGAGAGAGTCCTGTGCTTTGGATCCTTCAAGCCTAGTTCTCTGGGCATTCCAGTGATCTTCAAAGCTCATTGGTTCAACATGGAAAAGAATAAGTAAATAATAGTAGCAATTCAGTAGAAGTTATGTCAAGCTTAAAGTGTGCTTCTTTATGGAAAGGGGAAATAAGCTATGACCAGTCATTCTCTTGTTCTGCTCTTAATAAAACTAAGAGCTTCTACTCACCTGTTGTCAGGAACAAATGTTGGTGGTAATTCCTCTTGTGACTTCCTACACAGCTGTCCTGATACACTGGTACATCTAAGAGGAAAGAACCAGACAAGATGATTGGGAAAGATGACAAGGACAGATCCACTACATAGGTCACAACATACCAAGAAGGTGTATGGAGCTGCTAGAAAGGGAAAGGTTGATATGTTTCTGGTAACCTCAGCAGGAGTTCCTGGTTCTTTATTCATAACCGAATTCCCTATCTTAAAAAGGTTCTGAATGCAACTTCACCTCCAGTAGCTTCTCTTAGTTTGAATTTGTAGTCTCTCCCACTTCCAAGGACACAAATTCAGTGTTATCTTTTAGAAGTAAAGCTTCTGTAAATTCCTGAACCAGACGGAGGGTGATTTCTTGAAAGAATCGATGATGTTAGTGAGAAAGCAATGTCTTTGTGCTCGTTCAATGAAACAGATTCATAGCATTGGCTTTAGGCACTGCCGTGATGATGTTCACATTCTAATTTTAATTTACCAGCATTTTCCCTTTGTGACATGTCACCAAAGTCTTTAGAGACAACTTCTGGAAAAATCTCTCATAGTGCTTCCTGGGTGAGGCATGGTTGACCTGGAAGGTACTGTTTACAGTATGAAAGCACATGTTTCTCATGCTAGGTTTCTGGGGCACAGCTTGGAGAAATTCCAGCCTTATTTCCTTTCATGGCATACAATTCATATGTTTTATTCTTTTGCTTGCCAGAGAGTTCTACAAACTTCTCACCCTAAGTCTTTCCAGAATTGGTGAATTCTGCCTCTTTTCTGAGGGTCCATGACTTAAGCTCTGCCATTAGAGAAAAGGTTGGGATCAAACAAACTCTTCTAATTGGAAAAGAAACAATAATTTTTTTTTTTACAGTTATTGAGGATAACCTCAATAGCAAAATACTGGAATAAAAATCACAAAACTCAAGACATTTTCCCCACTTTCCCTGACCTCTCCTCTCATCCTTTCCAGAGAAACTTGATTTTCATGTTATATTTCTGTCCTTGTGAAAATACCAACCAGGCCACAAGGTAAGAAGACCAAATGGAATTATTCAAATTGTTGACATTTTTCCTTTACTTCCATTTCTTGTGCTCCATTATGCCATTGCCCCAGATGACAAGGCCAAGGTGACAGACGAAATATAAAAACAAACTGGCTAGTGACACTGCCAGTAACAGAGCAGTGGCCTCACAGAAGTTTCTATGGCAACTCTTCACCCCCTTGTGTGCTGTGGGTCCCAGCAAGCTGTGCGTCTGATAACTGAAGCTCCTCATGAAGGAGACTCTCTCTGGGTCTCTGTCACTGGCCTCAACTTGAACTTCAAGAGCAAGAAACTGGTTTCTTGGGAAGATAGAACACACAGGAGCTGGACATCAGACTTGCCTGTTATTACAGAGAGAAAAGGCAACGCAATTTCCAACTCTCCCCCTTGATTTAGCGTCATCATTTTATGGTCATCAGCATTTGTTATATTGTAAGCTGGAGATGTCCTTGAAGCTGTTGTGCGACATGATTCCCCTTGACCTACACTAATGGACCAGACTGCTAAGCTTTCTTTGTTCTTACATTTTCTCTTAATTTCCTGGCTCATTCTTCACTGTCAGGAAGTTAGATAACACATCTTGCTATTAGTCTGCTCTTCATTAACAGCCAAATTCTCTTCTAATTTGCTTTGGGCAAATGACCCAAATGAAACCAGTTTTTAGACATGAATATAAAATGAACTTGGAAAACATACATTTTTAGCTAATAGACTTTAGCACATGAAATTGGACTGTCATTCTACATGCTCATGAGCTTTTAATATTTATCTTCATGTTAAGCTGCATTTGAGAAGAGGTTATATGAGGTCTCATCTCCAAATATTATGCCGAGTTCTTATTATTAGGATTTTATAAACTTGACTTTACAAAACGCGCCCACACTGTTATACTCTTTTGTTCATAGTTCAGTTGCAAAGGAGGGAATCCACTCTCGCTGGTCTAAACAGAAAGGAATACACTTCAGACTAATAGAACCTTTACAAAATGATTGAAAGGGCGAGAGGAGAAGGCTGTAGGCTGAGCTTCCCGGAACAACTCTCAGCCCCTGGAACTATTCTGCTTGTGCCATAAATAGGAAAGGAAGCTGCTATTGCCTGTGCAGTCTGCAAACCCAGCTGTCTCCAGCACAACCCGTGCCAACTGAACGATGCCCCATATGCATTGTGTTTCCCCCCACATGAAGCTCGCACAATAGATGAGTGGAATCTGTTACATCCTGAACCCTAGCTGCAAGGGAGCCTCAGAATTGTAGTTTTAGATTTCCAGCATCAACACTGTGGGAGGTAATACTAGAAAGGATTTGGAGCATGTGTCAAGGAGCCAATCCACAGAAAGCTTCCTCACCAATAATAATCTTATCATACAATTTTACTTAAGCAAATCAAAAATTATTGCATAAGAACTGTAAAAAGAAAATCCAAACAATGTGCTAATGGCTTATGTCTGATAAAATCTTTACTCCTTGATATTTTTATGTGAGCATGTATGAGTGTATATGTATGTGTGTATCTGTATGTATACGCAATATACATATGAAATATGTACATGCAATATATGTATGGGGGCACTATGGTAGGGAGCACAGTCATGTTGCACCAAACGTGACTAACTCTGACACTCTCGGGGCAGAGGCTGAGGGCAAGAATAAAGCCCTTAGAATGGCTGGGGGTGGACAGGCATTTATCAGGTTATGTGCTGGGTGCTGACTATACAAAGACAAACAATTTGGTCCATGTCCTTGAAGGAAATCACTTAAGAGGGAGATACTAATGAAGAAATAATTCTAAGACAATGGGGTAAATTTTATGATGGAAAAATACAGCTCCAAATTTTTCATTAAAATATCCCTGAACTGCAGACAAGGAAATAATAGAGTATAGCTTACAATGGCCCTCCACGAGGAATAAGAGTTTTGGCTATCTCACATTTTATCTTTAAAATGCATGCGAATTTTATGGTGTATTTTATAATGTATTTTTTAATTTAAAAAGATGTATGTATGTATATATATGTTTTAACTAACTTGTCATCATAAAAAAATGTTATTTATCTTTTTGGCTCATGGACAAAATTATCATTACATTGAATCTATTATTACCAGAAAATATGATTAAATTGAAAGAGGCATGCTGGATGAGGAAATTCTTCTTTTCTTTCGTTTTGATGTCAGAATATTTTTAAAACGTAGGCCCACCAAGATTTATGCCTATTGATGGTGATTGTTTCCAGGATTTTTATGAGCATCATCACTTAGTAGGTTATGCTTTATTCTTCTGATTAACAAATAGCTCATTCACCTTATTCAGGTTTCCTCCTTTGTTGTAATGTTTTCTCATGAAGAAACATCGCAGTGAAAGCTTAAGGAGATAAAGTCTGAGCTAAGGCAGCACTCGTCTGTATAATGGTGGTGTTCCACGCAGGAAAGGTATGGGGGAGCTGGCCACAACTGTGGGAGGAGTATATATATTATCGCTGAAATTATCCAGAATTCTTGGGACATGTGGTGATAATAAAAAGTAGACCTAATTTTATGGGTTTTGCAAATATTTTTCAACGCTCTACAGACAGTGCATTTCCTTATGGCCTTTCCCCAGGGCAGATGGCTCCCACGGCCCAGTTTAAGTAGTCACTGCTATCTTTCATGGGCAAATCTTCAAGTCACTTCCCATTATGTTCTAGTTTGGCTACAAGATGGTTATTCAGTGCACTTTTTTCCTTTATAAAGTTTATCATTTTGACCACCTCATTGAACATACACAGACGCTTCATAAACATCATCTTTATGAACATAGGGAACAAAGAAACCAATAAATGAGCCAGCTCATTACCCTTTTGTGCTCATTAAAATGTAATCTAAACAACTGGGTTAAATTTGTTTTGCAACCAGTTATTTACTTATGTCTTTGGAAAACAATAAAACAGATCAGTTGGTAGTCCAGGAGTATCTTTTACACCTTGCTACTATTTTTTGAGTCTAAAACAGCACAAACCCAGTTCCACAGCTTCATCATCTTTTCCTCTTTTTCATTACTTGCTCTGCAAAGTGCATCTGAAACTAACTTCAAAGGAAGTCTCAAGTAATTTCTAATGTGCTTGTTCAAGAGTGTTTTACATATGGTTCCTGGCCAAGACTTGCTTCATTTTAATTGCAAACATTCTTGTGATTATCTTTAAATTTTCACATGGTTGATTTGAAAATATCTCCATGATAGTGATGGTTTCATGCAGCAAGTGCTCAGGAGGTTTGAGAATGTGGAGGAACACAGGTAGGGCAAGCAATGACCCTGGATTTTCTAATAACCCCGAAATACCAAACTTTCCAGTCATTTCTTCCCCATAAAAGTGGTTTAGTTCTTGGGCTTTCCCCTGTCTTTCTCGTTCGCATATCAGTTAGCTTTTGCTGCATGACAAATCACCCCTAACTGTAGAGGTTGAAAACCACAATCATTTATTTACCTCACAATTCTGTGGATCAGCGATTTCGGTTGGGTTCAGCTGGGCAATTCTCTGATATGGGCCAGACTGATCTCTTCTGGAGCTCACTCATATGTCCCAGTGAGCTGGGGACATTGTTTGGGGGCCAGCTGACTGACAGTTGGGGTGCCCCAGTTCTTCACATGGCCTTTCAGTCTCCAGCAGACTCGCTGGACTTCTTCATGCGGTGGCAGTGTTCTAAGAGCAGCAAGCTCACTGCACTGTGCTTTTCAAACGTCTGCTAGCCTCACAGTTCACAAAGGTTAGGATCCTCTCGGATTCAAGGAATGGAAGCAGACTAACTCTTCATGAGAAGAGCTAAGAAGTTACATTGCAAGGGTGCGGACACAGGGAGGGAAAGAATTGGTAGCCATCTTCGCAGGCTGCTACTCTTACAATCACATCCAAACATATTTGATGCACAATTTGAGGTAAACCAATACGGAAAAGGTGGAATTCTACTAATGTACCCTTGAGTACAGGTGCTTCAAAAATGTTTAAGAGATTTAAAAAATGTTTCCCAAGTATTCAAGTGAAATCGAGAGTGAAGGAAGGTGTTCTATGTGATCCACTGGCTTTGGCTACCACCACTGTGCATCCCTGGGGTGGACGCACCCTACCCGGGAAACAAGTTATCAGAGGTGGACAACAGATGCCATGAAGCATGCACAACAGAGGCACTGGGAACGGGCCTGGGAACCGGGTGTTGGGAAAGAAGGGGATGTCAGATAGGACTGACTGAATGATAACACTTGAACTGAGATTTAATGATGGCTAGGTGGGAGGAAATGGATGTAAAGGAGAGAAGAAGAGCCCCCCAAGACAAGAAAATGTACAAATACAGGAGAAAAACTTACTGCATTATCACTTTAACACCGAGGGTACATGGCCACTCACACAGCACGAGCTACATCAGTACCATAGATCTATGTTATCTGTCACTTTGCAAAACTTGAGACTGGGATTGCAAGTATCTCCCTAAAATTACTTTTAGAAAGTTAATTGAAATTGAATAGAAATAGACCAACCAGATGATCCATTTCCTATCAGCTCTCTGAAGGATTATTAGTTATTGGTTATGTTGCTTGGAGACAAATAATAAGAAGCATAAATGAATATAATGAAAGGAGAAGATGAAATCCTGTTTAGAAATGCTAAAGGTGGAAGGTGCTTTTCATAGGGAAGACATTTTAGCCAGGCCTAAAAGTGTGATGGATGGGTTAGAATTTCTGTTCCCTCTCTGGGAGCCTGCCCGGACTGGCTCAAACTATAGACCATCACCTTGCATGCCAGATATATCATCTGTGGCCCACAGCAGCTTTTGGAGATAAGGAACAGGGAGCCAAAAAATCAGTCGCTCTGACTCATTGGCCAGGGGCTCCCTGTGATAGATTCACACGACCTTCTGTCACTCACATTGGGCTTGTCTCTGGCATCTGCTGCTGTTGCTGGTGGTTCATACATGTATCTCTCAGAGTTGGGTGCTGTCCTCTCCCCCTAATAAGCAATTAAACACACATAGAAACCCCAAAGAAGGCTCCAACAGTTCTTTACCTGAGTAAATAGACTCTAAATTACTTGCAAGTGAGTGTGAAGTCTGTGTTTAGCAGGAAGGGTGGTGGAAATTTTCTGTT